AGGGGCGCGGCGGCGCCGCTGGGTTTCGGCCGTGTTTTCCGGCCGTTTGGCCGGGATTTTGGCTCCAATTTGGCCACAGGGGAACTCAGCGTGAAAAAAAGAGCTGGGGGTATGAAATTTACCTAGATCGGCGGTCGGAAAACTCCCCGGTGCGGCGACGGGTGGCGGTGGCCGGCTCCTCCGGCGTCTGGTTCGTCTTCTCCGGCGAGGGCAGGCGGCTAGGGTTTTTGTGGTCAGGTGTGGGGGTTTTATTTATACCCTTTTGCCTTTTGATCACAGCCGTCCATTTTAATTAAATCTGGGCCGTCCGTTTTTGATTGAATCTGGGTCGTCCGTGCGCATGCATTTGGGCCGTCCGTGCGATTGCATCTGGGCCGTCCGTGCGCACGCTTGATCTGGGTCGTCCGTGCGCGCGGGGACGCATCTGGGCCGTCCGATCGCGCGCACGCGGATCGCCACGTGGCCCGTTCCCGGGTCGACGTGGTCTTGCCACGCGGCAGGTCCTGGTTGGCCATGGCTGCTGACTGGGCCGCTGATGTGGCTGCTGATGTGGCGCTGACGGGGTACAATTTTTCTAAATTGCGTTTTGACCCCCGATTTTTGATTTTCTTTTCAAAAATACCCCCAAAATCCTAATTTTCACCCCTTTTTCCGAAAATCAATTTCAATTAAATTCAAATAATATTTTTACCCAATATTACAATTATTATTATTTTTATTATTAAATTAAATTAAATTAAAATAAACAAAATAAAATAAAATAAATAAAAATAAAATTAATAATAATAATAACAATAATTTAAAATTATTTGGGCGTTACAACTCTCCCCCCTTAAAGAAATTTGGTCCCCCAAATTTGCCTCTTACTCTGGGTCGAACAAATGGGGATACTGGGCTCTAAATTCTGATTCCAGTTCCCGAGTAGCCTCCCTAGGCGTGTGGTTCTGCCACACGACCTTTACAAATGATATTTCTCGGTTGCGGAGTATTCTGCTCTCTCGGTCCGTGATACCGACGGGTACTTCTTCATAAGACAAGTCCTCTTGGAGTGTAAGCGGTTCATGGGCCAAGACATGAGAAGGGTCCGGGTTGTACTTACGTAGCATCGATACGTGAAACACGTTGTGAACTCGGGAGAGCTCAGGAGGCAGTACTAGTCTGTAGGCAGCGGTACCAATCTTGTCTAAGATTTCAAAGGGTCCAATATATCGGGGGTTTAATTTTCCCCTCTTGCCGAACCTACTAATTCCCTTGAAAGGAGTGACCTTAAGAAACACACGGTCGCCTTTCTCAAACGCTAGGTCTCTCCTCCGGATATCTGCATAACTCTTCTGCCTGCTCTGAGCTGTCTGAATGTTCTTCTTGATTTTAACTATCTTGGACGTGGTCTCCTCTACCAACTCTGGGCCGAACAATCTTCTATCGCCCACTTTCTCCCAACAAATCGGTGACCTGCACGGGCGCCCGTATAGCACCTCATATGGAGCC